AACAATCCGACAAATGTGTACAGAAGAGAAACAAAAAGTTGGAAGAGCTGACAAAAATGGTTCAAAACACAAATGACAAATTTACGAAGAACACAGACTCCACAAAAAAGGTGTCAGAAAGATAATGGAGATAAAAAGTTGTACAGAATTCAGAAGTTGCAGAAATAACTAATGTGAAGACAGGGTTTCTGAAACCTGTAACAGAATAGTAAATCATGACAAATTAGAGACGACTTAAAAAGGATAATAAAACACGAAAAATTCACCCAACAGCTACGAAAGGACAGTAAATTTAAAGAATCATCTAAGGCTAACTGCAGTTAGAAATTAGAACAGTATAAATGGAATAAAACATCTGTTTATAGAAATCATAAAAGAAAACTTTCCCAGTATGAGAAAAGATTTCAACATACAAGTAAGCAAGGCTTGCAGAACACCAACTAAGTAAGAAAAAAGAAGCTCACCATAACATATCCTAGTTACAATCCCAGATGTCCAACAAAAACACAGGATCTTAAAAGCTGTCAGAGAGGGCTGTGATATAGCTCAGTGGCACAAGTACCTGCCTGACTAGCACAAGGTCCTGAGTTCAATTCTGATACCAAAAAACAAACAAACAAAAAAAAACAGCTATCAGAGAAAAGAAAAAAAATCACATTCAATATAAAAGTAAACCCATCAGGATTACAGCAAACTTCTCAACACAAACTTTAAAGGCCAGGAGAGCTTGGAGTAAGGTGTTTCAAGCTCTGAAAGCAAGTAACTTCCAACTCAGGCTAATGCACCCTGCAAACCTGTTTTTCAAAACTGATGGACAAATGAGGCCATTCCATGACAAAGAACACCTTGAAAGATACATGAACACTAAACTAGGATTCCAAAGGATATTCAAGAATATCTTACGAGACAAGGGCAAGAAAGCCAAAAAATCAGATGGAATGAGTACCTTAAGCAAGGCAGGCAGCTAAACAAAAAAGGAAAATTAAAGGAGTCATCACCAGAAAAAGAAAGCAATGACAGGAATAAATCAGTACCTTTCAGTAATAACTCTCAATATACATGGCCTCAAGTCCCCAGTTAAAAAACACTGATTGGCAGATTGGACCAAAAAAACAGAGTACAACAGTCTATTGCATTCAAGAAACTCATCAAATCCAAAAATAAATTCATAGGCTTAAACAAAAAATCGAAGGATAGATAACTATTTTACACACCAGGACTCTACAAGCAAGCAGGGATAGCAATCCTATTCTCAGACCAAATAAACTTCAGGCTAAAACTGGTCAGTAGAGTCAAAGAAAGTCACCACATATTAGTTAAGGGAACAATCCAAAAGGAAGTGATTAACAACTGTAAATACATATATATATATTTTTTTTCTTATACTTATATATATATTTTCTTATATATATCTTATATATAAGAAATATATATATTTTTTCTTATATATTATATATATATTTTTTCTTCATATATATCCCATATATATGGGATAGTGGAGCACTTAACTTATATATAAAAAATATATATTTTATACATAAGAAATATATATATATTTTCTTATATATTATATATATTTTTTCTTCATATATATCCCATATATATATGGGATAGTGGAGCACTTAACTTCACAAAACAAATGCTGCTGGACATAAAGGATCAAATAAGCACCAATACAATCACAGTGAGTGACATCGATACCCCAATTTCTAAAAGAGTTCAACAAAACAAAAAAATCAGGACAGAAATATGACAGATTCAAACTAATGGACCTAATAGATATCTGTAGTGTTCTACCTTACAATGATAAAATACACATTCTTCTGAGCAGTACCTGGAACTTTCTCCAAAATACACATACTTGCTCTCAAAGCCTGATTAAATAAATACAAAAGAATTGAAATCACCCTCAGATCTTTGTATACTGAAACTAGAAATCAATTACAAAAGAAACCACAGAAAATTTATAAACACCTAGAAACTTAACAGAATCCTGAACATTCAATGTGTCACAGAAGAAATCAAGAAAGAACTTAAAACAATTTCTGGAGCCAAATGACAATGCCAGTACAATACACCAGAACCAATGCGACACAAGGGAAGTTGTCTTAAGATGAAAGTTTATTCCAATCAATGCTCACATTAGAACAACAATCTCTGATCAATCTAAAATAAACAATCTGATGACGAGACTCAAGATATTTGAAAAACAACAACAGTGCAAACTCAAATCTAGTTGGAGGAAAGAAATCACAAATATCAGAAAGGAAATTAATGAAATTGAGACTAAAAAACAGTATTAAAAAATCAACAAACTGAACAGCTAGTTATTAAAATGAAAAACAAAATAAAATCAGCCAAATTTATCAAAAGAAGGAGTGAAAAGACCCACATCACAGCAACTAGAAATGACAATAGTGAAGTCATAATGGATCTAAGTTTCAAAAAATAGTAACTGCTATGAAAAATGTTATGCCAATAAATTGGAAAATTTGGAAGAAATGGACAGATTGCTAGACACTAACAAAGTACTAAAATGAAACCAAAGAAAACAAAAGGATTCTGAACAATTCAATACCAGGAAATGAAACTGAGGAGGTAATAAAAGACCTACCAACTAAGAAAAGCCAGGACCTGACAGAATCAGTGCTGAATTCCACAAGACCTCCAAGGAGGTTATAACACCAATACTACTCAAACTCTTCAATGAGATTGAAAGGGAAGGAGTGCTTCCTAACTAGTTCCTGGAAGCCAGCATTACTCTTATCCAAAAACCAACCACAAAAGGAAAAAAAAAAAAAAAAAAAAAAAAAAAAAGGCCAATCTCCTTAATGAACATAGATGTAAAAATTCTTAATAATATATTGGCCAATAGAAAGCATTGAATGATGAGAAGGATCACACATCATGACTAAGTAGGTTGCATCCCAGGGATGCAACAATGGTTCAACATACACAAATCAATAAATATAATATACGACATAAACAGAACCAAGGTCAAAAACCACATCTTCATATCAATAGATTAAAAAAAAGCTTTTGACAAAATCCAAAACCTATTCATGATAAAATCCCTAAAGAAAATAGGTTTAGAAGGACCTTACCTCAATCTGATAAAATCAATTCATGAATCATATTAAACAGGGAAAAGGAAAGTGTTCCCTAAAAAGTCAAGAACATAACAATGATGTACACTATCATCACTCCTGTTCAATACTTGAAAAATTAGAGCAAACAGACAAGAAAAAGAGATAAAAAGGGTACATACAGGAAATGAAATCTAATTATCATTATTTGAATATGGTATTATTCTTTACAAGTAAGATAAAATTCTACCAAAAGACTTCTAGAATTAATAACAAAATGTAGCAATGTAGCAGGATATAAAATCAACACATAAAAATCAATATTGCTCCTGTACACCAATAATGAACTTACCAAGAAAGAATTCAGGAAAATAATAAATTTTCGATAGTATCAAGAAAAACTAAATACTGTATTTAGGAATTAATCTAACCTAATTAATCTAACCTAATTAATTAGCAATTACTTAGGAATTAATCTGATTAATTTAACCAAAGAAGTGAAAGTCTTCTACAATGAAAATTATAAACTTTTTAAAAGGAGATCAAACAGATGAGCAGAAAACGAAATGATAACTTTGATCATGGATAGGTAGATGCAATATTGTCAAAGTCAAGATTTAATATAATCCGAATCAAAATACCAATAACATTCCTCACAGAACTAGAGACTACAATCCTAAAATTCATATGGAACCAGAAGAGACCCAGAATACCAAAAGCAATCCTAGGTAATCGCAAAACAGGAAGCATCAAAATACCTGACTTCACATTATACAACAGAGCTACTGTGATAAAAATAGATTGGTATTGGCTCAAAAACTGCTATGTACATCAACAGAACAGAACAGAAGATGAAGAAACAATCCCAGATACATTCACCCAACTGATCTTTGACAAAGGGACCAAAAACTTATGCTGGAGGAGAGATGATGTCTCTAGCAAATGGTGCTGGAAAAACTGGATACCCACATGCAGACGATTGAAGCTAGACTCGTATGTCTCATCATTAACTAAAATAAAATAATATTCTTATAACAGAGTACAAGGGGGAAGTGACACATTAAAACCTCTTGCTAAGTCTTTATAACTTAAGCTGATATGAGCAGATAAATATAAAAACTACATAAAACCCTGAGTAGTAAAAATGTAGATAATTCTGGATAAAGTTACTAATAAATAAATTTGATAATGAATAAATTTCAAAAATTTGAAAATTTTGCCAAGCTCAGTATCTCAGAGAAACAGACACTACTTTTGTACTATTATATCAGAAAGAGGAAAGTTGTCTATTTACTTAAGGCATGAATTCAAGTAAAATCTTATCGCTCCACACAACTTACATAGAACTTTTTAGCAACAGTGATTAACAACCCTGAGTAGAAATGTCTAATTTATTAAAAATACATACTTCAAATGTAAAACTGTCATGTGAAAAAAGCCTAAAGGCAATAAATATCATAACTATTATTCTTACCATCACTGTTTGAGTCTAAGCATATTTAATGCAGCTGTATAATTTAAGTAGATCGGAAAACAGTAAGTTATGTACAGGTGATTGGTGCCAGAATATCCTAGGCTAATTTCAGAATAAACTGATTTTGCACAAAGTATTTAATACAATTGATAATTATATTGGTAATTATAATCTTTCTTAAGAGAGGCTCTTCGACTGTTATCAGATATATAAGTCTGGAATTGCATGAGGGCTGCTTGCATCTACATATAAGCTTTCTTTTGAATACTACTTGAAAGAACTGTTTCAAAACTAACATTGTAAGTCAACTGAGTGGGAAGACAAACTCTTCCTTTTATATTTTGATCTCATCAGTATATCAAAAGGGAACTTTAACATAAAATCAACAGGTTGATGATATAAAACAAATCAATCAAAAAGCACACTGCTGCAAAACATACCTGATTCTGGCCAAAACAGCTTGTAGAAAGTTCAACACTGCCCTAAGTTCAGATTCTCGACAGGCTCGAAGAAGCATACTAAATCCATCATTAAGCAGTTTCTCGTGGGAAGGGTACAAGCAGGAGCTGGTCTCGAACACTTCTTGAACACCATCAATGTAGATGGAGAGAAGCGTCCAAAGATTATGTCTCTGTACCATTTCTTCTTTCTTCGATACCAAGAATTCCTTTGCTCTCTCTTGGAACTCATAGGAAAATTTCTCAGCCAAAACACCAATATCCAGATTTTTCTGGGCATACATCAAGAGGAACGCCATCTGACCTTTCCAAACGAGGGCTCTCTGAGATGTTATAAAAGCAGGCTTGAGAAAATTCAGAAGGTTTAAAACATGACTTGCCACATCTTCTACCTCTGCAATAGCTGCTAATAGTAGAAAAAGACTGAAAAAGTTCTGCAGTCCAACTTCAGTTAGTTCTTCCATTCTTTTTTGATGGAATTTAGAATATATCCTATAAAACAAGAAAAATTGCTTCAATCAAATTATGTCATTCACAAATATCCACCTGTTATGGCTTGTGTCTGAATGTTCCCCCAAAGCCTCATGCAGTCATGGGGTGGGCTTGTAGAGTTTATGACTGATTCATGGTCCACTGCTGGGATGATGGGTGTGAGTGTTACACCAGCCCTGGGGTGGGTAGTTTGCATACAGTGTAAGGGAGGGAAAGAGGCTGCTTGCCTTTTTGCAAGGGCTCCTCCCTTTTTGCTCTTATTGCCTTTGCTGGTTTCGGCAGTCATGGACTGTTTGTTGCCCTTTGCCATGTGCCACTGCCTTGAGGCCAGCTGAGTATGGACTAAACTTCCACAAACTGTGAGCCGAACAAACCATTCCTTCCTTAATTCTGGGCATCAGGTACTTTTTCTCAGCAACAAGAGAAAAATAAACAAGACACCATCTTTTAAAAGAAATTCCTTTATTACTTTGACTCATTATTATAAAGGTTTAGCTATTTTTTAATTTTGATGTTGACATGTCACTTTTTCTACTTAGAAAACAAACTCATAAAATAGGCTACCTTCAAACTTCCCAGGGATGCAGCAAATCATAACAAGAGAACCAAAGGAGCCAGCATATTTCCTTGAAGGACAGCAGAAATGTTTTATCATAGAGTACATGGCATTTTCTGGTAGTTGCAAAGTCAATTACCTTTCTTTTATTATTAGCAAGTACGAATGAATGTGTTACAGTCACAGTGTTCTAGTTTGGGGAATCTTAAATGTTCCCCAAAAGTCCCCATGACTTGGTCTTTTGAAAAGCACGGTGCTATAAGGAGGCAGAACCTCCAAGAGGTGAGGCCTGCTGGGTACCCTTCAAGGGGACTGAAGAACACAGCCCTCTCCACCTATTTTTTCTCTGGCTATGGTGTGAGTGGTTAGCTTCTGCCATAACATTCCTGTCATGACATGCTGCCTTATTTCAAGCCATGGGGCCAAAAGATCTTGGACTGAAACCTATAAAATGTGACTCAAGCCTTTCTTCTTTATCTATTGATTATCTAAGGTATTCGTCACAGTAACAGAGAACTAACAGACTGTATAACCCTTTAGGTACAATTTCAGGTGCTTTTACCAAAATTGTAAATGAACACTATTAATAATTTTCCTTAATCCCCTTCTCCCTTCATCCACCTCAAATACCTGCTTGTGTTTTGCTTATACCCTAAGACAATTCAAATCACTAAAGGAATCATTTTTTTAATCTGCAAAAATAAATTGTTCGTGTTCAAATGTTCAAAAATAACCACTAAACTACCCACCCCACCAAAAATGCCCCACTAAAAGATTAACTACTACTTAAAACAACTTAACAGTTGTAATTTTCTTTCATCAGTTAAGCTTAAATTCCCATTTATTTATTTATTTATTTTTAATTTTTTTTTTTTGGTTTTTCTCCAGTACCGGGAACTGAACTCACGACCTTGCACTTGCCAGGCAGGTGCTTTTGCCACTGAGCTAAATCCCCAGCCCCCCACTTATTTATTGTTAAGTTTTATAAAGTTTATAACTGGTTCATTTGGAGCAATAAACCCTGAAAGAACTGTATAAGAGCTGATGCGCTTCTGAAAATAAAGATCTGCTTAATTATAAACTTTGTATTCCCTATCATCCCCACTATAGTGCTTGACATACAGCATTTATCTAATATACTTGCTACTAAATGAATTTCAATAATTTATTTTCAATAAAGTTCTGGTTATTATGTCTTTCATAAAATTACATAATGTTAAAAACCAAACATGCAAACAAAACAACAATGACAAGACCACTGGGGATGTAGCCAAGTGGTGGGGGTACATGCTCAGCTTCCCAATAAAATTATTATTTGAAACTCATAATTATTAAAGGTTTAATAAAGAAACTACCTTTTTCTAAAGAGTATACTCTACCACCATAACCTTACTCACTGTAGGAATAAGATAGAAATATAATTCTTACAAAGCCTCTGCTCAGAATAAGAAGCATCATGCTGAAAGATCTTAGCAAACAAGAGGAACAAGTGATAGATGAGGGTGTTCTGCATAAAGTGGGCTGAAAAAAGGAGTAACAGGCAAAGTAGAACCAGAAGACAAATTAAAAACTGTGTATTTTATCATACAAAAATGGAAAGAGAGCATATGCCCCAGATGAGCACATCGGGGTTATCTGGTCTTAACTACATTCTGGTCAGCTCTCACTCAGGGGAGCCAGTGCTATGAATTGCTGGTCTCAAAGAACACAAAAAACTATTAGTTGCCAATGTAGAATATGGAGATTTTTCTTTCCATCACTTGATAAAATGTAACGCAATGACTACAAATAATTCTGGCCAAAAAGAAAAAAAAAAATCCTACTCCTTTTCTAATAGTCCTGTATTCACTATATAAAAATCCAGTCTAGGTGTGGTACTGTACAACCGTAATCCCAGCACTCTTGGAGGCTACGGCAAGAAGACAGCGAGTTTGAGCCCAGCTTGGGCAACTTAGCAACTTAATGAGACTGTTTCAAATAAAAATTTAAAAAGGGATGGGGAGGTGGAGATGCGGCTCAGCGCCCCGTACTGCAACAAGAAAAGAAATTTAATCTTCAGTAGTGACGAGATGACTAAGAAACTGAAATCCTCTAAAAGCTCCATGTTTTACTGTCCTGCATAAAGGAATACATTTTAAATGTATAAAGACTTTCCAACTACAAGAACACTTAGTGTAGTACATAAATAGTAACCCTTCCCCAAATGTATCAGTGTACATTCATGATGAAAAAGATACGACGCTCACCTCCCTTTGATTTGTTTCCAAGGATGAGGTCCATTGTTCTTCATGGCTTTCTTAACAATCTTTGCCAAAATGCAAAGAAAAATGGTATAACTACTGTACAATTTAGACAGGTCATGATCTTGTTTATCACAACAGCAATTCTTCACCAAGTCAAGCATAGACAAAGGAGACTTGATATTAACAAGACCTTTCAAAGGAAGCCAAGAAACAGTGAAGGAACTATTCTAAAAATAAAAAAGATGGACAATCAGTATTAGTTTCTTAGTAAATAAAATGGAAAGCTGCAACTTTCAGTTAACTTGTTAAAAGATTAAATAACTTAATGTCAGAAATCGTACTACTACATTATCATTATAATATATCACCCTAAATAGTTCCATAAAAGCACACTGCACATAAAGGTATGTTAAAAATTTGGGTTGTCCCCAAAATGTGTTTTTAACAGCTGATTTGTCCAAATTAGGACATAAACAAGGCCCAAACAGCATTTAGATGACATGCCCCTTACAGCTCTTCTATTCTGTTAGTTTCCCAGTGTTTTGTAACACCACTCATTTTTTATATCAGATCATTTGTTGCACAGAATTTCCCACTCTAGGCCCATCATTTATAACTATTAACATGACAGAAACAGACTATGCTTTTTCATTGCTCTGTGCCTTTGTCCATACTGTTCCTTTAGTCTGTATGCTCTTTTTGTTTATAATTGGAAAATCCTCCTCATCAGGGTCAAGTTAAAATATTCTGACCCATACTGTCTTCCACAAGACTTCTACAACCCATACACTGGGTTCGATATGCCTCTCCATGGCATTGCATGGTGTTTTGACTTTTCCTCCACAGTATGTATACACCTGCCTATTGGCCTACAATCTACTCAGGTGCTAAGATGGTGTCGTATGCAGGCACAGTGCCTATTCAAGGTGTCTTAAGGAATCAAAGATAATTAGAAAACATTCATAAACAAGGATTAAAAAGAACTTACTCCTACAATTTTGGCTACTTGTTTATACTCTGAAGAGAAAAAAGATATCAAATGCCAGTTCACTCTAGTCTACCTTCAACCAAAACTAACTTGTCAAGAAAAATTCATGGCTACTAATAACTAAATCATAAAAGCCCCATATATCACACACAAATTCTTCAAATTTCTGGAGTAAATTTATATTCTCTTTACTCACCAGGTTTTTACTGTAATATTCCCATAGGATGTTGACAATTGTATTATTTGGTTCCCAAAACTCACAAAGTGTCAAACAACAGTGAAGATACATTCGTAACTGTTCTTCTAGTATACCTTCCTAAAAAAATAAACTGAAGTTATGAAGGAATACATAAGCTCTGGCTACATAAATATTATCATTTTATATTGTACAACCTATAGCTAAAAAAAAAAATGAGTAAGTATCCCCAAATCATAGCCATTTGTATCTTCAGATTGGAAGATCTAAATCAACACAGCAACATCTCTGTGACTATATCCAGTGAACACATGAGCTATTTCTGCCATTTGTTCACATCCATGAATGTTCATGTTGAGAGGTCAGTGTGTGTCTACAGACATATGTATGTGCATGTAAAACTCAACAACTGGTTCACTTCTAACCTATCTATCAGAAACCATCAGAAGAATAAAATTTATTTGCAAGCTAAATCATGGTAACTATAACTAAAATTTGCCTGAGCAGATTTTTTAGGAATGGACAGAATTGAAGTTCAATATCCTAGTCAAGATCCATCTGTTAAGAAATACGATTATTTTCAATTAGTAACTAGAAGGTTAGTGTCCCATATTATCATATAGTCACATGAGTTTCTAGCCTTGGACTCTGTGAAATAAAAATGTATTTAACAAATCGAAGTAAGATTTCAAGGGGGAAGATGGCAAAGTGTTAAGCAACAACAAATCAGCCTCTTCAAGATTCTGAGTCCAGACACTGGAAAATAACAACTTGGGGAAGAAAAGTAGGGAGGTGGGTCCCTGGGACCTTGGAAGACCTGAAGGGAAAACTGGACCTCACAAAGGTAAGGAGGCAGACATCAACCCAGAGGAGACACCTACAGTGTTATAAGCTAGGGAGGTGGAGGACAACCCTAGGACCAGAGGTCAGACTCAGCCTGAACTTCTGTGGATCTGTAATTACTAGAACCAGTATGCAGCACTAACCCTAGTGTAGGCTTGCTAGGATTACCCAGCACAGATGTGACTGCCTCCTTTGTTTTCCAGAGAGGGCAGTCACACCCTGAACTGGACACTACCACAAAACTGCAGACTCCAGAAGATAACCACACGTTTGAAATCAGAGAAATTTCTTTTTTCTTCCTCACTTCTGTGTGTTTTTAAATTGTTTTTGTTTGTTTATGAGTGTGAACATTTAGTCTTTTCGTTTTGTTTTCTTCTTATTTCTGTTTTTTCCTTCTTTCTTTTCTCCTGTCCTCTTCACCAGTTTCCCGAGGCTTGAGTAACCTTCTTTTGTCCTTCAGCCTTGCTTCTAACTCTCCTCCTTTATTTCCCTATTTTTTCCTCTTATCCCTTTTAAATTTTCTTCCTTGAGTGTAAAATCACTCTACTGAGGGGATAGTTTACTGTACATAATTTTCTGATTTCCCTTAGATTTTCCATATAACTATAAATCTTATATCTATGATTAAAGGTTAATAGTTATCACAGTTTGTCACTTTCCAGTCTGTGCTTGATGCTCTTCAATCCTGGTTGTACTACTTAAGCCAAGGTGACACAGTTGTGATCCACTGAACTTCCCTGTATGTCAATACCTAGATTGTCTTGGGGGAACTCATAAACAATACTATGGACCAGTACCAAAGAACTGGGTGCTAGATCAGCTAGGCAGCAGTCTTTCATCCCTAATAAACTGAAGAGGCAGGAACCTGGGAAAGATTCTAAAGTGAAAATCCAGTTACACCTAGAAGACATCTCTGAAAAGTCATCATTTCCACCATACAAGTAATAAAGCTACCTACCATAAGCAATGTATAAGGCTCAACCCTGAAAACAAATACAAATACACACAAAAAACAGAAAAGTGAAATAAACCAGACGCACATGTGCAAACATTATATGGTCTCCCTAGTGTGAGAAGCTGAAGGAGTAAATAATATCCAAAATGTACAACAGATATTGTGAAATAGGAAGAAACCATTAAAAAGGAAAGAGAAACTGGGATGGAGGAAAGGAAGAAAGAAAGAAAGGAAAAACAGAACAATACAAAAATATATATATGCAAGATAGTTAAGATAGTTATACTGCTAATTTCTCTTAGTTCATTGAAAAGAAAGCGTTGTCCTAATATTGTTGGGAGAATTAAATGCATTTATCTTTTACACTGAGTAACTAATTTGAAGATAACAATATGCAACGTATTAACCACTGTTATCCTCCTTTTATCTTGTTTTGAATTGTATCTTTTTTTCTGTTTAAAATTTTAAAAAAAGAAAAAAATAGAAAGCTTTTGTAAATGGAGAGGGCCAGAAGGGTTGAAGAGAAGGGAATGAAATGGGTGAAAAAGGAAGAATCAAGATATATATAGGTACAAATTCCCTATGATGAATGTGATCAATATGTATAACTAGTATGTATTAATAAAAATTGGCATTTTTAATTGGCATAATTAATAAAAATTGGCATTTTCACCCTTTATAAAATGAGAAAAATTATTTTTGCCCTTCAAAAAATAATGAGGCTTTTAAAAAGTAATAGTTTTGAAAACCTTCATTTTTCATGGAGAAATAATAATGACAGGGCAACTGTTTACAGTTAACATCACAAATGTTAAACAGGATTATCTCTGAAAACCTTTTTAAAGCACTTTCCTATTCAATTAAGTAAAATTTTAAAATATATGCTTTCTTTACACATCTAAATCTCAGTGTTTGTTTCTAGAACATCATCTCTGCATAGCAAAAGATTAAAACTTTTGCTTAATGAAAACTACAGTGGAATATCTGCCAATTTTACTTGAAGATCACTATATATCTGAAAGGTTGTTTGTGTTTAACAAATTAGCGTTCCATAGCAAATGGCTTTTTTCACTGTTGGAGATTAAGTACATGGGCATTGTCAGGTCTTAATTCACCTCAATGGGGGCAAAATGGATGTAATCTAACTGATAGCTCTATTCCAAATATATCATTTATTCTTTATGATCACCTACTGTAACCCCAAAACTGCTTTCAAGAATCTCAGCAAATAGCCCTGTCCTATGATGAAACATATTTGATGCAATCAAGATATAATAAAACAAAGAATATCAGAGAGAACCTTAGGACTATTTTTTCCTAAATATTACAATAAACCCTCTGTTGTAGGAATAATACTTCGATCTTATGCAAGACATAGACTGACAATGTTTTTTGGATTAGCTATAGTACCCCTACTTCATCCTGTTTTCTATCAAGCTTTCCTGTTTTTGACACAGAAACTCCAGGCCAGACAAACCAGGATGGCTAATCACTTGACTTCTAAGAATTACATATTTATCTTCAAAGTGGCTTCAACTGCCACCATTACAATTCTAATTATATTAGGGGCTGGGAATATAGCTCAGTGGCATAAGCGCCTGCCTGGCAAGCACAAGTTCGATCCCCGGTATTGCAAAAAAAAAAAAAAAAAAAGTTCTAATTATATTGCAAAATAACACTATGCAATGTCGTGTCAAAATTTTATCACATTATAAGTGAAACATTCCAATTAAGAAATCTTTATTTCAAGCATATATGAGTGTTGTTTTTCCCCATTCAAAATCAAAATTAAGTGTGGAGATTTGGTTCACTGGACAAGTGTGAAAAGCATGTGTTTAGTGAGTACAAGACCTGGATTCAATCCCCAGCACATACATGCAGGCATACACATACACATACACTCTCTGCAAGGGGGAAAAAAAACATACTACTTTGCAAGAAACTCAAAAATGTTTAAAGAGCACTTTTAATCTCAGGTAAAAGGAAATTTCTCTATGGAATAGATGATGACAATTCCCTCTTCTCTGACCAGTATGAGCATCTGTATTTCTCCATATAACCTTTTAGAGCCAACTAAGAAATACCCTATAACTTAAAAACCTAGCTAAACAAAACCATAAATTAATATATTAAAGTTAAAAGAAAGTTTAAATATTAATATGACAAAAACAGAAGTTCAGAAGGAAGTTTAAAGGACACACATAGTTACGACTTGACAGGGAACTTCAAGTTCTTTGTGACTCAGGTGCAGTATCTGACAACAGAAAGTAACATTATCCAGATTTTATTGAAAGTATTTTTAATTGGTATTAACTGAGTTATGCCAAAATACTGAAACTGAATTAGTAACTGCTGCAAATGACAATGACCACTGTAATACATACATTTATTAGTTCACAACCACTTTTTAATGATTCCCTACATTTCTGAAATAAAAGGACATATGAGCAAATTTCCTGAGTTACTAAATCAGTATATTCTCAAAAAGAATGAAGGAGAAGGCCAATTAAATGACATAGGAAAAATAAAACATGAAGCAAAAGATTTTACAATGGTTAAGGAAAAAATTCTCAAAGGATAAGAGGTCTGTTGTCTGTTATTCAACATATATATGCAACATTCTTTGGAATTCTTAGCTAATAATTTATAAGATTAATAAATATTAATAACTAACCACGTTTCATGTAAAAAATAATACAAATACAAAAAACATTTCAAGAAAACACAAAGCAATCTTACACTTTCTTCTTTATTTCTCTTTAAGATTTAAACTATCTTCCTTAACCAAAACTAATTTATTTTCCAAATTAAAAACATTCTTTAATATGATTTTCCATAAACTTTTCCGTAAATTATATATGACAAAACTTTACAGAGTTCTAATACAACATGTTTAAAAATGTGATGAACAGCAAATTTTAAACTATTTTAAAAGGAGGTCAAGTCTGACCTCTGGGCCATGAAGCACTACATTAACAGCTCTGCAGAAAGAAAAATGATAAGGTATGAAATGAGTGCTCGGAAACTAGGACCTTATCAGTTAGAATATGATTCAGGCCTGTAAGACAAATTGCTCAGCAAGGCAAGTCACCTTCCTGCTGTGATAAGGATACAGTTGAATTTCCAATGCCACTGACTATCTCCTTCATCGTGTCTCCTAGTTTGATATCATACAGTCAAGGAATGGCTGATAGTTCTGAAGCATCTACCACTTATTTTGAATACATTTTGTCAAAGTCACCTACTAGGATAACTATCTTTGTCCATTAACTTACAACTTTAACATTAAAAATAAAAATCTTTAAAGGACAGTCACTGACTAATAAGAATCCCTGTGAGTTGACCTGTCAAAGAATGATTTTATCTCAGGTTTAATAAGTAAACTGTTACTTAAATCACTTTAACAGTTTGTTTGGTTTTTATACATATTTATAACATAAAAACATGCAAGTTCCACAAACTGTTCTACTTTCATTTCATACCTGAACACTCAAGGACCGTTTCAGCAGTTCTTCCACAAAGTTCCAATTTGATTCCATCTGTCTCTAGAAAGGAAGAAAATATTGTTGCAAATCAATTATTGCTCTTGATTACACATATATGTACAATTATGATACAGCAGAGTCAGTGAAGTACAGTTTATCTTTAGAAAGCTCTGTAATTTCATGAATTTATAATACTTCAGGGCAAAGAATTAGGTAACAGACTTAGAAGAAAAATTTCTACAACTATCCCAATCTAATACACACCTTATCAATTGTCTTATTAAAAGTGACGCTTCTATAGGATAAGTACTTTAATGAATTTTTAATTTTGCTGTCAGACATAGTCTAAAAAATTTATATATGTAAATTTTTTTATGTATGCATTTTTTGGAGTTCTTTATGCCAGGTAGTCTTCTGAATCTTCCACTTATTCACTAGAGATTTTTCTTCTGTTTTGTTCATCATGTCTGTAAGCCCTCAGAATGTTCAGCCCAGTAGTCCTGAAATAGTCTATTTTATCAAACAACATAGCTAAAAATTTTGTACAGAAAATAAAATTAAACTTTACATAGTGCCTCCTGTCCATGGTTTACTATCTGATAACCTCAATTATATGAAACAATTCCACTTTTCCAACAAGACAGCCTGGAAGATGTTTTCACAGGATATTTAGTTCTTAAATGCTTATGTATGTAGAAACTGCTCAAACCTAGAAAAAAAAAAGAATCTCTAAGAGGAAGCAAGGAATATTTCTAATGGAGAAAAAAAAATGTGAAAAGCACACAAGACTTCAAAAAGCAAAGTCAAAGACCTTAAAGAATAAAGGTACAGACTCTCACTATACCACAAGAATATGATGTTCATAAGAATAAACTCAAATGATCCCTAACTGCACTACACTACACTAAACTGCTAAACAAATACTACCTTAATAAAGACACAAAGCAACTGTAGTAGCCGGGATAAGATATGCCTCCGTGACTTCGGTCCCATATTCCCTTTCTGTATAGTATCCTCCCACACTGTCCCAGGGTTGATCCTGTCACTAACAGACATCCTACTAATATGAATAATAATAGGATGTCACCTCAAAGAGTAGGTTATAAGACACTGAAGTTTGACAATATTCTTATGGACTTGATCTGGGAAAAATCACATGTGAGAAGTGTTGAACAGGCCCACATGACGGGTAACTGAACCATTCTGCCAAAACATGAAGTTGGAAACTAATTTCCCAGCCCCAGTTAAGTGTTCAGCCTATAAGCTCATGAAAGCTCCTGAGCCACAACCAACTAGTTAAATTGGTCCTAAATGCCTGACTTAGAAGCAGAGTGTCAGATAATAAATGTTTTACACTGCTACATTTTATTATACAGGAAGAGACTACTAATAAAATGATTTAGCTACTTTTAGCAAATGTATTACTGACTTTTTGAAATATTCTTATTTATACAAGTAAAGTAAATGCAAAAAATATTTTTCTGGAAAGAATGTGGAGTAAAATCTATGGCCCTGCCCCAAGAGTAGGTTTGCACTTTGTCCTTAGTTTCTGGGTAGTATCGAAGCCCTCTTAATGTTAAGTCCAAAGTAGGGGCATCTTGGTTTCAGGCCATGATCATTTTGTATCGTCTCACAATGTACTGAAAACGGAGGCTGGCCATCCCTATATGGTCTTAGACTACGCCTGGTCATGTCTAAAAGACTAACAAAGTGATTTAGATTGGTCACTTTGGGTCAGAGACTGAGAAAAAATAACTGTGAGTAGTCAGAAGATCATGCCTATGTAATGCAGGTCCAATAAAAACTATGAACACTGAAATTTGGGTAAGCAACCTGGTTAGGTATATTCATATACTGTCACATATTGATGGTAAATTAATGAGTCCTGATCCCAAAGGGAAAAGACAAAAGAAGGCCCACATTTGGTACTTGGTCTGGATTCTGCTTTATGTGCTTCTTTCCTTCTCTGATTTTAATCTATTTCCTTTCTGTGTAATAAACATGAGTCTAACAGTTTTCAATGAGTTCTGCATATCCTAGACCTGAGGACAGCTCTAGGTACCTCCAAGCTTGCAACTGGTGTCAGAAATGAGGGCAATCTTATGGACTGAGCCCTGAAACTTAGTAGGTACCTCTCAAAAAGGAGACCATTTTGCTCTATTAACACTATATGAATACTGTCTTAGGCTCTTCACATATTAATTCCTCAGAAAACTTTTACCATATTGTAAAATAATACAGTGAAGTCTCAGAAAGGCCACATATGCGTGAATCAGAGAATGCATTCCAATCCAAGTTGGTCTGGCTCCAAAGCCAGTGTTCTATCTATTGTATCATGTATTAGTGACCATTTTTTTCCCCAAGTTAACCTCCTTTTAGATTTTAATGACTTATTTTTATACCATTCTCTTTGTTAATATACTGTCACCAAGTAAGACTGAGTAAGCACATGACAGGGTTTATGTAATTTAGTTCTACAATTGGATAGTGTTAATGAGTAATTTTAACGGTGCTAACAAGGCAAGTAGATCATAGGCATTACAGAGAAATAGCATAATTCTGATCCAAAGAATTTCAATAATATGGTTCAAGATTACAGCTATCATCTAAACAAACTGTGCATCAATGAAAAAATGAAACTATATCACGCCTAAAACAAATATGAGTAGGTATCAAAGAAATACAGATTTATCTCCCATAAGAGAAGTTAAATTTGAACAATTTCAGCATATTTTCCTACATACCAAGTCACATCATTATAGTCTCATTTCTAAAAGCCAAGTTAATACCAGGTAGGAAGTTATCAACTTGACTCTATGTCTTATATTTCTTATCCTACCATTAAAACTAAGAGACCCACTCAAAGTACTATGTAGGTCAGATCTTCACAAGAATTATGAAACAGATTCTCTTATGCTCCACTCTGGTAGACGAGAGATCTTGCTGCAACAATCACATCTTTGATCTCGTTGGCATTTCAGATATTTCAAACACAAAGCATCATCTAGCCTCACCAACTGCCCTACAATTCTTGCAGAGAAAGTACTGTTAAAACTGAACTCTGCTATGGGGCATAGTTGCACATACCTGTGATCTCAGCCACTCAGCAGGCTGAGGTAGGAAGATTCCAGTTCAAGGTTAGCCTGGGAAACTTAGTGTGACCCTACCTCAAAGCAAAAGTTAAAAGAAAAAAAAAAAAAGGCCTGGGGATGTTTAATTCAGTGGTAGAGTGCTTGACTAGTACACAGAAAGCCCTGAATTCATGCTCCAGTACCACAAAAAAGAAAGGAGAGGGGACAGGGAGAGAGATAGAGAGAAAGAGACGAAGGAAGGAAGGAAGGAAGGAAGGAAGGAAGGAAGGAAGGAAGAAAGGAAGGAAGGAAGGAAGAAAGGAAGGAAGGAAGGAAGGAAGGAAGACAAAAGAAAGAAGGGAAGGAAGGAAAGATAGATCTGACCCCAGTAATGTTCAAAAACAACTTTCCCCTTTAAACTGTTCTTGGTTTTAAAATAAATGACCAGGATTGTGAGGGTAACACACTCCCATTTAGGCTGGGTTGAAAAAACATTAAATAGCAATATGTGAAAATGTAAAGATTCCAAAATGAGAACTGAGATAACAAATTTTCCTTATAGACTTATAAAACTCCAAGCAAACTTTTAAAATAAAAAATAATTAAATATATTGGAAACCTATTTAAATATAAAGCTTTCATGGTAATCTTCAGAGCAAATCAGTTCATATTTAAAAACTGAAACATCCCCATTTTGCCATAAGATGAGGTACTTCTCTGGTAAAGAACATATTATTATTATTCTTATTATCATCTTTCATACCAGATGATTCTTTAGTAGTGTAAAGTATGTTTATTGCATAACTATTTCCTCTAGTATAGTTGGCTATGCTAATCATCACATGGACACAAAACAGAACTTAGGCAATATTTAGGCCCAAAATCTGACCAAAATATATCTCAGATCCAAATTAACATCCCTTCTAATTTATCTGAAAGAATGAACTAATATGCCTTTTTATTAATAGATTAGAATGATCTTCTGATTTATCAACTAAACACAAACGTAAGTAGAAAAGTGAAAATTAATTATTTAGTATGAGTGGGTAACAAGCACATAAGGAGACTGTCTGTGGCAAAGTGGAACACAAGGCTACCCTACCAAAGAACTATTTGTAAGAAGTAATCCTTAAAAGAACTCTAATACCAGGTTTATCTAAATGATAAAATACATTTCATATCTAATGAAAACTCTTATTAGCAGAATGGCTTGAGTTTTCTTTAAAAGGTTCCAAAATATCTGAAATTCTTTGAAAACAGGTGTTTTCTGGGAAGCTTATTTTACATGTAGATATACAAACATGTACTATTCATTATTTTTATCATAGGAAAGACTCTTTTCTCAAATGTGACTCTTAAAACTTTCCACATTAATTTAAAGAATTGAGATTTTTTAAAATATGAGTAAAAGAAAATCATATAGGAACTGGTAACAAATATTAAAAAGCTGAAGTTATGCTACTTTTAACATGCAATTATTTGCTGTCTTAATTGAGTGCTAATAAAAGCAGGAATCTCCTCTGGAGTTCTCAGTATACAAATGAAGAGTCATTTCAGTAACACAATCACATGGTGGTTGTACCAGAACCATTCAATGTTACAACAGGAATAGTATTAATAGATATTAATTTGGCTAGATTACCGATTACACTGACAGTATCTAGAGGTCAATATCAACCACTACTGAAATATACTACTCCCTCCAGTAAGTGTCAACTGCAATTCTAACATGCACTAATAACTTCAAAGAAAGTTCCTTGAAGCAAGGGCCAGTACAATATTTCATGTATGTGCCTATTATTATAATAACACAAATAGTAACTGAGGCGTGCTTATTACCATTTTTATATATACCTACTAAAATGAGGAATATGTACTTGGAATAAAAAGCGAATGAAAAAGCTATGCTAAGTTCTAAGAATTATAGGTAAATTTCTGAGTTCCTTTAATGTTCTAATATTCTACATGGGAAATGTTACTATATTAACTCCACAAAAAGTGCTACTATAGTAATAATGTCGATTTCTAAAATGTGAGTATATATTCTGTGTTAGCATGGCAAAAACTCATGAACAGAAACAAAGGGCATACAATTCTGCGAAACATTCATTCTATTGATCTATCTCAATAAACTGGTAGAATGTTTAACACTGATACTGATAAACTAAAACTGAGCTGTGTATGAACTTCTCAGATGACTTCCTTACTCATTATTTTACTTTATCTTTGGGTCTCCTAAAATGCTTTTTGTTGTTAGGGGAATCATTTAGAGGACTTTTAAACCCCTTCTGTTATAGCCTGTGTTTCGATGTTCCCTCAAAGCCTCATGCAGTCATGTGGAAACGGGCTTTTCAGAGGTGGCTGAATCTAGAGTGAGAGATGCTGGGATTAAGGGTGTGTGATCAGCTCACTGAGGGATTTGGCACCGCCCTAACCCCAGCGCCCAATAGAGTACAAAAGAGGCAGAAAGCCCTTGTTACGATTGGTTGTTGGTTTTGCATCTCCCAGCCATAAACTGTTCTCCTTTGCCATGCCACCATGCCCTGGAGCCAGCCAATTACAGACTGAAACCTCACAAACTGTGAGCTAAATAAACTTTCCCTGCTGTAACTTTGGATGTCAAGTATCTTGTCTCAGCAACTCGAGGAAAGTAACTAAGACTCCTTCCATTTCCATAGGGCTTTGTTAGTGCTAACATTCAGAATCCAGGGCTAAGTCGTCCAATATTCCAGAGAAGAAAATATGTTAAGTCCATCAAAGAACGTTTCATAACACTCTAAGTCACAGTTCCCACATCCCACATCAAGAATGAACACCAAAAATACAACATAAAATTAAAGATTCCAAAATTCCAAACTAGATTACTAAATCAGGATCTCAAACATTGAGACCAACAACTTTGAATTTTTAAAAACTCAGGTAGGTGTGATGATCCATCAGGTCTGCAAATCACTCCCATAAAAAAAGACAAATTCTAAAAATATAGAGAAATTAGATTTAAAATTTTAGAGGTTTATTTTCTGGAACTGATAGACTGAGAATTCTATTCATCTCTAAATGGGGAAGGAATTACATACAAATAGGGCCTCAAATAAATGCATTTACCAGCTCGTTTTATTCATAGGGCTTTTTAAGTAACACTGTATTACCAAGTTTCTAACTAGAAATTAATATACTAGTTGAAATCTCTGTCCTCCTATTTAAAGCAAACTTCATGTCTGTTTAGTAGATTAAAATAAGTTTGGGAAAAGCATTTCTAAAACTAATATTATTTTAAAGATACTTTTAAAATTATCCACAAGGACAAGTCATTCATTTGTGGAGTGACATGCACTCTTTTGCCAGCCTTACAGGTTTTAAAATGAAAAAGAAACTTTAGAACAATTCAAAGCCATAATTTTTCAGTGGGGGAAGAGTAGACCAGAAAGGCTTAATATACTCAAAGTCACACAACTCTTTAGAAGCAAAGGCAGGAATGGATACCAAGTTTTCTATAAACTGCATTTCTGTAATAATATAATGGAAACATAAGCATCATAATTTTTCAAGTTGCTTACAGAAACATTACACATAAAGAACTTTGTTGCTTCTGTTTATTAAATTTGTCTTTAAAAAATGAATCCAGAATATAAGAAGGTTTTAAAAAAAATAAACCTTACCATTTCATCTGGTACTCCATGCCGATCAAATTGATAAAATGATGCTACACAAGTAATAATCCACCAACTAAAACCTAATGGATCTCTGGACTTGATGACAGGCATAGAAGGTCTTTGTTCACTGGATGTTTCAAAGAGTGTTTTAAGTATTTTATTCAACCAGCTCCAAAATGACTGTAAAAACAGAGGTAACATAATTTAGTTAAATTAAGACACTGTTTCAGACTGAAGGCTTTTCCTCCATTTTCAAAATGAGGTGTACATACAAAAGAGAACATAAAACACACAAAGCTTGAAGAATAATTTTTTTAAATAAAATAACCAAGTTAAGGATTATAGCATAATTGGTACTTCAGAAATACCCTACATGTCCCCAAAGTAACATCAACTTCTCCCATCCAATGGTGACAATTTTCCGGACTTCCCTGATGAATCATTCCTTTGGTTTTAAAGGTTGGCCACTATTATATAAGCCTGCAAGCCTACACTACATACTGTTCAGATTCACCTACTACATTTTTGTGTTTTTTTCAATGTATGCTTGTATTCTTAATGGGTTTGTTTCTGTTCTTTAATAACTTGGTCTTTTTGCTCAACAACATGTTTTTGAGCTCATTCATATTAATGAGTATCACCATAGTTCACTGGAATATTTCAGTGTATAACTAACTATACAGTAAACCATTTAATTAATCTAGTACCTTTGAACACTTAGTGAGTTTTAGTCAATTTTTTCCTAGGTATTTTTTTCTGGGTATTACATTTAAATATGAAAGTTATTAGGTATAAAATTGTAGGCAAGAGCCGGGTGTGGTGGCGCACACTTGTAATCCCAGCACTCGGGAGGCTGAGGCAGTAGGATCATTGAAAGTTCGAGGCCAGCCTGGGCTACAAAGTGAGCTCAAGGCCAGCCTGAACTGCATAGAGAGACGCTGTCTCAAAAAGACAAAAAAAAAAAAAAAAATTGTTGGCAAGTTCTTTTAGTTTTTAATGTCTGTAGAATCTGAAGTCATGCTCTTATTTTTAGTATTGATTTTTTTTAAAGTATTGATTCTTTTTGTAATCACCTCAAGAGAGATTGGTCAATTTTATCTATAATTTTCTTTTTTCTCTTTTGTTTTTTTGAGACAGGGTCTCACTAGGTAGAGGTAATTACAACTAGATGTACATTTATCAAATACCTTCCCTAAACTTCACAACTTTTTCCACGACCCACTCTCCATTTCACTTTATTTTTTCTCTCACTTGACATTTTTCTTTTTTTTTCTTTATTTTAAAAATAATAGGAGGAAAACATTAACAGACAGACAACCTCTCCATGCCATTTAACTACTCTGGTAGTTTTCTTTTTTGCTCCTGTACTATACTGCATATAACAAGCATTACAAAATCTCCTTTCTACACCACTGAGGCAATTATAAGCCGCATTTAGCTACCATGTGCTTCCTTTAATGTTAACCTGTAACAATTCCTCAGATTTTATCATTTATAACCTTGACACTTTTCAAGAGCATAGGACAGTTGACTACTGATATTGACTACTGAAATATCAGTTGAGTACTGATATTTGCGATTAAGCATTTTTGTCAAAAAAGTAGCAGAAATATTTTTGTTCTTTTAATGCATCATATTGGGAATATATGCTATCAATTTGTCCTTTACTGGTTAAACTTTTACTTCATTATGGTGGTATCTGTCAGATTTTCTAGCTCTATAAAGTTGTCTTAAGTTTTTATCTGCTTTACAATTGTTCCTGGGGAAAAAGGTTTCATCAGCTGGAGTAATTCTGTTTTTAGTTTTCTTCCAGTTACTTTGCACAAGCTTATCCAGTTTCATGCTTTTCATTTTGTAAATTTAGACTAGTTTAAAAGACTCCTGGTTCAGGGGCACTCTCTTTTGTAAGGTCCCAAACGATTGTTCCTTTCCTGGATTTTCATTTTTCCTTCCTTTCTGTGGTGGTGGTGGTGGTATAAGTATGTGCTCTTTGGGATTCTTTTTTTTCCCCCCATGGTAGTGGTATTTTGTTTTACAAAATCTAATATTTGTTTAATTAACTAAATTTATTGGTTCATTTTAGGTACGCATACTGATCACATCCATCACAGGGAATCTGTACCTGTACATGATATACCTTCTTTAAACCTGAAATTTTGTTTCTTGATCCCATCACTTTGCAATCCCCAAATGTTACCACTATTTCCTCTCCACCTTTTCTCCCCTTAAGCCTCTCCTCAAACACTTTCTCTTCACTCCATGAAGAATCATATGTCATTTCCATAGTCAGCTCTCAGATCTACAACACAACTTATTCAGTATTTCCCTACACTGCCAATTGCTTTAGACCAATTTTATGATCATAGCTAGCTCTCTTCTCTCCTAAGTTCTGTCACACCATCCTTGCTTGTTCAGAAACAACTGTGGTAGAAGCTTCGATGATTTTTACTTTTTGAAATTTATAGCCCTGAGCAGTCCTATTTTCTAGTTATGTAAATGGCATTTTTAGGGCAAGTTTTTTGTTTATCTTTATTTCTTGGGGAGGTTATATGGAAGAACAAGAGTTTAGATATCCATTCATTATCTCTGGCTACTTAAATAAAAGTCAATGGCTTGAATTTTTAAGTAAAATTCAGGTAATATGAACTCAGATTATAAACCTGCATAAGTTCTGGATTACAATAATAGATAGTACATAAAAGCAATTTTAATGCTCTGCAAAACACCACCATTATAGACAGACAATATTCCTTAAAAGCTAAGTGTTTAGCTCATCTCTTTGAATGCCCAACTTTATGGACAGCTGGCATATGGGTGCACTACCAGCCTGGGAGCTTTTACTTCTGCTCATGTATGCTGTAATGCATGAAAGACAAAGTTAGACAATCCAACAGCCTCTGAGGTTATGAAGCAGCTATCTGGTTCAGCTGACTGAGACCTCATCTACATTTAATACTTACTCTCTGTATTTTTACTTTCTACTACTAGCTTACTGACACATTTAATGTTTGTTATATGATATCCAGCATGATTAGAGTATTTTTAGCTCAAGAAGTTCAAACTGTCTTACCCTCAGGAATGGAAACTACTATTTGAGTATCAAAATAAAACAGTTTGGGGCTGGGGATTTAGCTCACTGGCACAGTGCCTGCCTGGCAAGCGCGAGGTCGTGGGTTCGATTCCTGGTTCCAGAAACCGCCGCCCCCACCAAAAAAAAACAAAACAAAACAACAGTCTCTCAAAACTGCCCATAATGTTATTTTAGTTGTAATTTAAAAACTGAAATGACCTTAGACTTTCACTATTTAAAAAAAACCTTCCAGTTAGCAAATAAAATGAAGAATATGCAAATCACTCAAACAATAAATGTTACTGTATAAATTTCTGCAACTTTACATCTTATATTGGGCCTACTTTTCTGTTTAAATGTTAAAAAAAAAGACTACAAGATGAATAAAAAGGCAACAAGATGAATACAGGCACAGTAGCTATATGTGGTTTACATTTCAAGACTGGACTTTTTAAAACAAGAATAATTCTAAAAAACTATAAAATTCTGATAATAAAGTCATAAAATTCTTATAAAGTAATAAAATCTATAGAAAATGGAAACATTCATGTTTACTATGACAAAGGGGTTAAAGAAACTGTCAAATAACCAAAAGTAAAAGACTCCTGAGACTTGTAACACCTAAATTTCACTTAGAAAGCTAAAGATTACTCTGACAAACCAAAGGGCAAGGAGGAAAATAATCTTACTCAAAAAGAAAAAAAACATTGCAGTTAGGTATTTGGTGTTAAAATAACTCAAAATGAATACAGCACTTGTCAATGTGCAAAAGTAGAGCTGTAATTAAAAACTAGATCTAAATTCATGTTTTTATATCAAAATACAAGTATCCTATGATTAAATAGACACATACACACACACACTAGCTAAATAAATATTAGATAACAGGATCCAACTTTACAAAGTGAAATATTGGAAAATCCAAAATTCCATGAAAAAAATCCAAAGTACTTTTTCATATACTATAAACAATTTTTAGTACCATTTCTCAGTAGATTTTTTTTTGTATTTCTTCCTATAAATAGCTCTTCTTCAATAACCTATAGATTACATTTTAATAATCTATTTAATAATCAATAACGTTTATTTCTACTTGAAATAAAGGCCTATTTTGAAGACCTGATTCAAAATCAGGCGAAAGAAGTTTTTCTATTTTTCCTTTTGTGTTTTGCTTTTTCCCTCAGTGACTTATGATGCTATAAAACTGCGGAATAGAAGTCTGTGTCTTACTTCACCTGAAATCCAAGTCTGCCAATTTTCTGACTAAAATGTTTTCTGGATTACCAGAAGGGATTAAATATTTTAACCTAAAACATTCCTCATAGAACAAAAAAGAACCTGAGAAATAAGAGTCAAATTTTAGACTTTCATCTTTTCTTACTAATTTTACATTTAAAAAAGTATTTGGTACACAGCTAACATTATTTGGTGGTTGTTGTTGCCTTCCAGTAAAGAAGGAATTCAAGAATTTTCTTGGCCAGACCATTGAGTAAATTCAGTGTAATCGTCAGTTATTATCACTAAACAGCAATTTTTCAACTTACTTCTGAGAGAGACCATTTATGTCGGTGGTCTAGAATATGTATGAGTAGAACCCATAATTCTTTTATGCATGAACAATGACAATTATCACTCAGTAATGCTTCAGAAGGTCTAACCTGTGGGAAAGAACCAGAAGATATTATTTACAAGTAAGTAGCAAAATTTTACATGCCACATCTCATTGTTTTAAAAGAATTGTTTTTAAAAAAATATATCCTAATTTACATAAACTTTTTGTGAAAATGCCATTTCATTAATTTTTAAAATCAATTTCCTTTTCAAAAAAAAAAGAATGAATTTGATATCTGACTTAATAAAGAACAAGCAAACAATAACTTATGTTTTATATATTATCTGCAATATTCAACAAACTTTTCTTCTAAAGGGGCAAATAGTAAATACTGAAGATGGCAGTACAAAAGCAACCACAGACAGCAGGCGAAAGAAACAGGGCTGTGTTCCAGTAAAAATTTTATTCATAAAAACAGGAGGTAAGCTGGACTGAACCTCAGGGACACTGCTCATTGAGTGGCCCCTGCCCTAAGCATAAAGGCTTCTAATGAAGATTACAAAATAATGATTCACTGTAAAAAACAAAAACTTTTACAAAGTATAATACTAAGAATTCATATATGTTAAGCAATTCCCAAATTATTTATTATTTCTGTAACAAAATATCCTGATCACTTATAGCTCATAGAGGTATTTCCAAGTACAGATGACTAAAATTCATGAAGTATTCGATATCTCACCTATGCTATATATACACGGCTAACATAAAACACTGTAAAAAATTAACTGTTCACCTATTACTAGGAATCCTAGTCAGAACAATTAGGCAAGAAAAAGAAAGAAAAAACACCCCATTTTGAAAGGAAGAAGTTAAATTATCCCCATTTCTAGATGATGAGCTCTTAAATATAGAAAACCCTAAAAAATTCTCCAAAGCATTTTAGAACTAATACATAAATGCAGCAAAATTAAAGGATATAAATCAACACACAAAAATCCAGTTTCAATATACTAATAGCAAATTATCCAAGAAAAATCAATAAAATGATCTATCCTTAACAGCTACCAAAGAAGAAATACATAGGAATAAATGTAACCAAGGAGGTGAGAACTTGCATGCTGAAAACTACTGGTGAAAAAAACTGAACACATACATAAATGCAAATATATCTTGCGTTCATGGACTGGAATAAACACTGTTAAAAAGTTGATATTATACAAGGTATCCAGCAGATTTAATATAATCCCTACCAAAATAGAATTTTTCATGAAAATAGGAAAAAAGCACAATTTGAAAATTTGGGAGGAGGGACCAAGATGGTGGTGTGGTAAGCAGCTGAGAAAGAGTCTGTCTGAGAGTCGCTGCCCAGATGCTCGAAGATAGCAACGGGAGGAAGACAAGGAGGGAAGTGGGTCCCCTGGACCTAGGAAGGATGTGAGGCATGAACTGAAGCCCATGGAAAGAGCAAAGGGAGAAAGTTCAACAAAGTAAAAGGAGGTAGCTGCCTACGCCTTCTCCCTGAGACTGGACTGAGAGGAGCAATTCAAACCTGTGGACACACGTTGCCTGCGCAGACCGCTGAGGCCTCCATGGAGAGACGCAGCAGTGGAGGGGAGCAGCACATGTGAAGGACTGCACTGCCTGGCAGTGAGTGCTGAGGGCTCAGTCGTCCCGCAGGAGACAGCGACTGGCAGGGAGCCATCTTGGAGACAGGCCAGCTGAGCTCAGAACTCAGAGCAGCTGCTGGTTCCATCTAGCGGCTCCCAGCTGGGCTCAGGCCCACAGAAGGTGTCCTCATGGCTGCAGGCCAAATGCATCTGCTTTCAGCCAGAAGGTGCAGCCTCGCTGAGATTATCCACTACCCCACCAAAACGCCACTGCTGGCTTGCTGGGGTAAATCAACACAGACTGGGACTCTGTCTCCACGTATAGTCTACCATGACAGCAGAGACAGACCTAAAAGTAGACCTTTCCTCTTTTGTTTTTCTCTGGATTTTGTGTGGTGGTAGTGGTTTTGTTTTTCTCTCCTTCATTGTTTGACCTTGTTTTTATATGAGTGGGAACGTGTTTTTCAGGCTCTGTGGTTTTGGTTCTGTTCTTTTTATCTCTTTCTTCTCTTTTTCCCTTCAGTCTTCTGCACCAGTTTGCCAAAGTTAGTGTGATCCTCCTTTATCCTCTGCCTTCTTATCTCTTCCTCTTCTTCCACTTCTCTATTTTCTCCCTAACCCATTTTAAATTTTAATCCCTGAGGACAACATTAACTTACCAAGGACTTGTACACTATAGATAATTCTCTGGTTTGATTTAGACTTTTTTATATAACCACAAATCTAGTTCATACAATTAAAGGTGGCAAATTAATGATTAGCCTAGTGTGTCATTTCCTTGGCTATGTTTGAGGTTACTGTCACTGCTGATGGTACCACTATAGCAATATATTCATGTGTAAAACACCGTGCTATAGATGATAAATATATATACTTTAGTCAACTACAATAAGTTGTATTAAAATAACATTACTGTATCATACCTGGTTAACTTACTAATTATTGTACATACAAGTAGAGATTATACTTGTAAACTGAAATAAGTAATAATAATCTACAAATTTCCACTTTTTGAAAAGGAATATATCATGCTGAACCTTTAACATGTTCACACCAGTTTGAACCACCAGTGGTAAACATATGACTGTCCTACTGGGTATCATGGGACAGTCCTATTGGGTGGTACAAGTAGCCTGATGGGACACTCATATGCAGGGCCCTATCGTGAACATGTTAAACCGGGGTCTCTATTAAATACTTCTCATAAATGCAGTTAGGTAAAAAACACAGAAGTTACCTACATGCACACCAATGTTAACAGCAGCACAATTCATAATAGCTAATGCCTAGAAGCAGCCTGTGTCCATCACAGATAAATGGGCTAAAAAAATGCAGCATCTATACATAAAGGACTACTACTAAGCTATAAATAAGGATGCATATGAGGAAAATGGATGTGCCTGGGAAATATAATGTTGAGTGAAGTGAACGAGACACCTATGGTTAAATACCACCTGTCATGTCTCAGCTGAGTAAAGCAAAGTACAAATAAAGAGCAAAATAAAGGGTGGATAGAAGGAAATATGGAGACAGATTTTTTGCAAATGGGAAAGGGTCCAGGATACTGAAGGCCAGGGAGACGGGGAGGGAAGGGGAAGAAAAAGGATAAAATGTCTCATGTATGGCTAATAATACCTACAATAGATCTAAACACTGTATGTCATAAACATGAACTGAAAAAAACAATAGGAATGAAAATAGGGAAAGGAGATTTAGAGATGGAAGAGAGGTGGTGAGTACGTGGGGCCAGGGGATTAAAAAAGAACTGAGTCTTGTGATATATATGTACCAGTTGCTAAGATGGATGTAAATTTCCTGCCCTGCGAACATGCACTAATAAAAAAATAATAAAATAACAGTAAAAAAAATCCACAGAAATTATCCAGGAGTCTAGACCTTAAATGAAAATAAACAAATCTTTCCTTAAATTTTAAAGTAACTAATTACAGATTTGCTTTTTTTATTATTACATTAATAGCACTCTAATAGATTAAAGGGCTAGCTTCTCCTGAGTCAATGTTGAACTTCAAGTTCCTTTCACTTACTTATTAATGATAGGATGGCAAGAGCAACTTCACTTACAAAATACATATATATCAAAAATGGGCTTTCTCATCCTCTTCTCACTTCTTTCAGTAAATATTACATGGTAACATACCTCTCTTACAGATCATTTATTCAAGAAAGGTAAATTTAGCACCTACTAAATGCCAGGCAGTGGAGAGTGAAGGAAAAACACAGTAATAGGGACTGAGCCACCGTGCCCACAGGAAACTCAGATCTACGAAACAGAATAGAGGTTGCTGAAACAACCCAAGGATACTAAGAAATCTGATCTTTGAGAAATGTAGCAAACACAGCCCCTTTAACAAATAATGCTGGGGAAACTGGTTATCCACACGCAGAATATTAAATCTAGACCCACACCTCTCACCATGCACTAAAATAAAATTAAAATGGATCAAAGACCCAGATATTAAAAGAGAATCTGCTGAAAGTAAAATAGGGCAAACTCTTGAAGACACAGGCATAGGCCAAGACCTTCTCAGCAGAAGCACAATTTCATAAGAAATAACACAAAGAATCAACAAATGGGATTATATTAAATTTACAAAAGCTTCCTCACAGCAAATCCACCTGTGAACAGACTGAAGAGTCAATTTATGAAATGGGAAAATAATGTTCCTAGTTACTTCTCAGATATAAGACTATTATCTAAAATAAAGAACTAAAAGAAAAAAGACCTAATCAAAAAATGTGCAAATTAAATGAAGAGACACTTCTTCAAAGAAATACAACTGGCCAATAAACATAAATGTTCAGAAATGCAAATTAAAATTAAACTGATATTCTATCTTACTCCACAAAGAATGGCCATCATCAAGAAATCAAATATTAACAAATGTTGGCAAAGCTGTGGGGAAAAACGGAACATTTCTGTACTGTTGGTGGAAATGTAAACGAAACAACCAGGACAGAAATCAGGATGAAGATTCCTCAGAAACCTAAAACTAGAAATTCCAATTGATCCAGATGCTCCCCTTCTGGCTATCTTCCAAAAAGAGTTAGACATCTTATTCCAATAATATATACATACTCATGACTATAGCAGCACAATTCATAATAGCTAAATCTTGGAAGTGGCCTAAATATCCATCAACGAATGAATGAATACAGAAAATAAGGTATTTATATACAACGAAGTACTATTATGTCATAAAAGGACACACTTCAGTCATTTGTAGCTTGAGACCAGAATGTTAAATAAAATAAATCAAACATACAAATTTAAATATGGCATGGTTTCTCTTACGAGAAATTCAAAATATAAAGAGCAAAACAAAAAACAGATAATAGGAAAAAAAAACAGATCTTTTGGAAAATAGAAGGGGACAGCCAGGTGTGGTGATGCATGCCTGTAACCCCAGCACTTGGGAGGCTGAAGCAGGAGGATCGCTGTCAATTCAAGGCCAGACGGAGAACCTAAACTGCTTAGCGAGACCCTGTCTAGAAAAAAAAACAAGAAAGAGAAAAAAATGTTAAGGGAAGGGGACGAAGAGATACAGGGAGAGAAAAGGGAAGGGGATGAAAAGGGTGTTCTGTACATGCATCAACATCTCAAAAGGAGTGTAATCATTATGTACTGTAAGTATGTACTAATTAAAAAGAATTGGAAAAAAAATGAGAAAAAAATCCTCAAAAATGCTAAAATATAATCTAACTTAAAAATTGGCAATAGACCTATTTTTCAAAAAAAGACATACAAATGGTCAAATGGAATATGAAAAATGTTTAATGTTATTACTCATCAGGGAAATGGAAATGAAAACCACAATGAGGTATCACCTATCACTTCACTCTAGTAGCAGCTATTATCAAAAGGACTAAAGAGGGCTGGGGGTGTAGCTTAGAGATAGACTACTACAAAGCAGTGTGAGGCCCTGAATTTGATTCTCAACACTAAAAAAAAAAAAAGGAAAGATAACAGGTGCTAACAAAAGTGTAGAGAAAAGGGAACACTTATACACTGTTAGTAGGGATGAAAATTATTACAATTATTATTGAAAACAGTATGGGAATTTGTCAAAAAATTAAACTACCATATGATGCAGCAATCCCACTATTGGGATATAAACAAAGGAAATGAAACCAGCGTGTTGAAAAGATGTATCAGTTGAAGAGATATCTACACTTTCACTGTGAACTATTCACAATGGCCAAGAGATGGAAATAACCTAAGTGTTCATCAAATGATGAGTGGACACAGTGTATGTACACAATAAATGTTACTCAGCCTTGAAAAAGAATGAAACTTTGTCATTAGTGACGATATGGATGGAACTGGAGATCATGTTAAGTACAGGATGCCAAACACAGAAGAGGAATACTGCATGATCTCTCTATGTGACATCTAAAACAGTTGCTCTCCTAGAAGCTGACAGTAGCACGGTGGTTACTGGAGGCTGGGGAGAAGAGATGAAGAGACATGGGGGAAGGTTGATCAATGGATACAAGCAGATACGAATACGAAGTTGTGATGTGGTATTACTCTGATGGGTGCCTATATGTAACAATAACGTACTGTACATTTCAAAAACCTAGCCTAGAAAAAAAAATTTGAAAGTTTTCACCGTAAACAAATGATAACTGTTTGAGGAACAGATACCCTTAGCCTCACTACATTATACAATGTATGCATGCATTGAATTATATCATCTTTAACACTATAAACATGTACAATGTTTGCTTCTATGTACCATTTAAAAAATAAATTTAATTCTAGCTTATTGTAAATGTTTAAATCGAAATTGTTTGTTTCCAGATAAAAACTAGATAGAAAATTAAAACAACAAGTAAACAAACCTCTTAAATTCTTGTACATTAAATCATAAGATCTGACTTATCATTAAGTTTCAAAAATATAAGCAACTTTTGAAGCATTACCTTGTCATACCTCTTGAGTGACAGGCTTATTAAATCACAGAAAAGATTTTCACAGTGTTCTTCAAATAGGCTCACATTGGTGAAATTGTCACCTGCCAGACTGATAAACTGATGACCATATGCAGCTTGTTCTGAAAATGTAATGAAACACATTCTACTTAAAAGTACTTGACATTTTACTTGAACTCAGAAGGAGGAAAAATAAGCGTTGACCTTTAATTGTGAGAAAAGTGAAATATACAGTTAAAAAATTTATAAATAAAAGTTGAATTTGACAAAAATCACTTTATATGAGCCCTGAAACATGTGAAAACATTTCTAATCCTTTAAGATATAATTAAATAAACTTCTCCTTATGTTGTTTAACTTTCATTAATAAGTATCTTTGAAAAGTATTAATGTTGTATCTCTTTAAAATAGGAAACAGGAAATCTTCACCTGTAATTCTAACCAACAAAGACTAAAAGATTATTCTTTTAGTGATAAAGTGAACACGTTATTGTTTTATGGCATAAAATAAACAAAGGTAATAAGCAAAATGTGTACCTATATTACAATTAAATCTCTTGAGTATTGTTCTTAGGAAATACTATGTGGAAAGTAGTCCAATGAGAGGAAATTATAAATCTATACATACCCTAGTATATTATTGTGTATATAAGTGTACACACACTTATACACACGTGTGCACTTTTAAAATTTATGAAGAGTGCTCGCTTCAGCTGCACATATACTAAAATTTATTAAGAAATTGACAAAAGGTGTGCGGGCAATACCTTTTACAATGTAAATAGTTTGGTAAAGGAACATAAATATGCCAAACAGTAAGATCAAAAAAAAAAGGCAACATATGAAATAAAAGATTGATAGCCACAGCATAAACTTCTATAATAATAACTTGCAAAAAGTAATGAAGAGATAAGAAAACATAAATAGATAATAAAAATATGTGAAGATGTTCTAATTCACTGGAAACCAAAAATCACAAACTAAAAGGGCTCTCAAAAATAAAAAGAACAATGTTCATTATTGGTAAAAATATGAAGTAAAGGTACACTCACAGTTAATGGACATAAACTACAATATGCCACTCCTAAGAATCTATCTTACAGAACAGTATGCACACAGATAGATGTGTGTATGTGTGTGCAGTGAAAAGTTATTGGTAATATTTTAAAAAAGAAATCTTAAAAAAATATACATGGCTAAATGAACTTTACCAGATTCATAAAATGCAGTAGAGTATATAGCTCTAAGTGAATAAGTAGAGCTATATATACTATCATGAAAAGACATTTAAAAACTGAAAGACCACATTAAATGATATAGCATTTAGTTAGAAACAAAGATAAAGTCCAGTTGAGTTTCTATACATGTGTATTAATAGACAGTAGGACAAATAGACCAAGCTATTCCTGCAAAAAGGGAGTAAAACGTATTTTTTACTTCAGTACTTTACTTTTAAAAAAATATCAGAAAAGTACTTATGGAGGGCTGGGGATTTAGCTCAGCGGCAAAAGCGCCTGCCTGGCAAGCGCAAGGTCGTGAGTTCGGTTCCTGGTACCAGAGAAAAACCAAAAAAAAAAGAAACAACCTAAAATACATTGCTGAGCTTCCCAGTTTGCTTTCCCTTCCTCATACTGATGACATGTTTCCTCTAATTCTTTGTGCTGTGCTTCCAAATTCTTT